ATATATATATATATATATATAATATATATATATATATATATAAAATTTAATTGATACTATCGAAAGATTTAAGAATTATCCAAAAAAAGAATAATTCTGAGGTATTTATAAAATTTATTTAATAAATTATTTTTTAATATAGATATATAAGTTTGAATAAAGTTTGTCAAGTGTTTTAATTCTTAAAGTTTTCGAAAGATACAGAAATACTTTTTCTGCCTATTAGTTTTATTATTTTATCTTATTTGTGCTTTGCCGTTTCTAATTTTACATATTCAGGTGAGTATGTTTAAATTTAGACTTGTATTTAAATTTGTAAGCGAAATTTAATTAAAAAAAATTGTCGACGTAACGAATTATGGTTGTAAGCTTGAGTTATTTCAAGAACGATCGTATATCTAGTCGGATGTATGCACAACACATTATAATGCAAATTTACTTCGTTTGGATGTCAGTGAGAAACAAGTACGCAAGTAATCGATGGCAACGCCTTGGAAGGACAAGTCTACAAGTATACCTAGGACAGACGCATAAACTAGATCTAGATCGTGTCAATTTAATCATTATTATTTACAAGATAGCTCACTATTTTTCTCGCTATTTTTCTTGAACGTCACGACCTTCACTTTCCGCAATTACTTTTTTTAATACAAAAACATATAATTTCTAACTCGGCTTTTCCAGTATTCTGATTAATAATTTTTACCTTTTTTAACACGCTCCTTAGCGAAGTTTCGCAAAGTGACGTACAATCGAATACGTTAGTCATCTAATATAAATTGCTCTAATATCTAACTCAGCTGATTAAGACGAGGAAGAATATTTCTAAAATATTTCAATGTATAAATGATAAAACCCAGAACTATAATTAATGTAGCAACAACAACACGTGACACTTGATATCAAATAACTTGTGATTTACAGACACACACATGTGTGATCTGTTTCCTTCCTTAAATAATAAAACTAATGAAACGGTGATATATATGTTTTTCGTATGTAGAAGATTTATTGAAGTTACGCTACTTACTTATACACGTAGGGCCCAACTTGTTGGAATCGCAGTTTGCTCTCTTTGCCACTTAGATATTCGTCGCGATTTGTCACGTTGAACAGATAAATCTTTACGTAGAGATCGACCTCGGGTTTCCGCCATAGTTCAAAGCTCTCGCCACCCTCGCCGAGCGTCAGCTTCCACTGGAAGAGTGACTCATAGGGTTGGTATAGCACTATAAGGCAACCGCATGTCAGGCCAAGCAGACCGAAAGTCATCAGCATGAAGATATCTGTGGGCAAAAAGGGGAAAGGTGTTATCCAAGCGGGCGTTAACCGACGGTATAGGGAATTCCGTTAGAAATTATTAGCAAAGCTATAATCAGTTGTAATCAGATATCTTCCTAACAAGGCTGTTTCTACGATATTATTTCTCCGTCCATACATCAATCTTATCGCCCTCGATCTTCTCCCGTAATCTTCCATGCTATGAAACTACTTCCTGTATAACGAACTTGTGAAAGATGCTCCATATTTGTATTATTATATTTAATTTAATATCTGTTGTTACCACCGATATAACATTTCTTCTTTAAGCTGTCGGAAACAAAAAGGTCATTGCACGCAGTGCTTAAAAATCTGCTAACAAGTTCTACCTTTAAATATTCATCCATCAAATTCATCCATCAAATTTCTGTTGAACATAATCATAAAATTTTGTTTGCCAAAGTACACGAGGTTAAATACATAAAAATAGTATAGCTAGCGCAACGGAACAGTTGCAAAATATAATTAATCGTTTTCGTGATATGATTTATTGAAGCACAGACGTTACCGCCTTTTGTATTTTTCTTGACTTAATACTTATGAATTTAGATTTAACGCTGGGTTCCATCAGCGTTAATCTTAGCGATTTTGATAACCGGCGGATAAACAAGAATTACACGAACATTGCAGCAACTTTCACAGATCTCTCATGGTTTCGTAATTTATGTTTGTCGGAAAATACACTGCTCTTCTTTGACCGACAAGTCGCGGCATCGTAACTTTTGCAGCGGGTATTATTGCGATATTAGAATTGGACAATGGAGATCAAATAAGTGAA